ATTGAACAAATACACCGATGACCGCTCCATAAACAACCAAAAGATTTTATTATACATACATTTTTTTGTAGCTTACATGTCGGGTTGGTTTCGTATAATAACAAGTGCACACTTGTTATTATACTTGTGTGTGTCAACAAAAGATTGTGATTTGTTTTGTTAGTAGGTTTTGGAAGTGTGTGAAAGGTAACATAAGTTTATGTTCTAGATCACGTTTACATTGCTAATGTTTAAATTAATTAAGAATTAGCAATTTTAGCATTGAATACTTGACCTCTAGCAAAAACAGCAGCAATCATGAAATGCTGCAAACTTGGTGCAAAAAACAGAAGTGCTCCAGACTACCGAGGTGCATCTGGAATTAAGTAATATTGTGCTGCTGTTGTATAACAGTAAAATGGCATGTTTCAAAAAGACACCTTTCTTTCTTCCGTCAACACTCTTCTGGACATCTTGTTAAATCACGATTCGTTATTGTGGGTCTGGTAACAGGATTTTGTGGTGAACTCCTTCTGGTGGTCTGGAGCATTTATGGTTTGTTGAGCATCTTTTCAGTGTTTTACACTTATTGTTTTTTTTTTTTTTTTGCTATTTGCAACATTTGTCCTTTTGTTTATATTTCCTGTGGTTGCAGCATTTTTCATTTGCATTTGAAAAGTGTTTTGGTTTTTCAACAGAGGAACCTAAAAATACTACATCATGTTCCAAATTACTATGGAAATTGCATTGAAGTGTCATAAAGTCTACATTTTTTGTTCTATTAAATTTATAGATGGTTTTGTGTGTCAGGGCTCTAAAGGAAATCTACTTAAGAAGGATGTTCCATATTACTAAGCAGGCCACAGGTTTCAAGCAATATGGAAAAGAGAAAGGATCTCTGCTGACGAAAATCATCAGATAGTGTAGTGCCGTATGACAAGGTATGAAAACATTAGATATTTAACCAAAACTGAAGCGTTATCATCGTACTGTGAAGATTTGTTGCTGATTCAGAACAAAGATGCGTTTGTGCAGATAAAGGAATAATGAGGAAGGTTTCTGTTAGACAAATTCATCGGATGAAGAGAGCAGCTGTTAAAATGCCCCTACAAAGCAGCAAACCGTTATTGGAAACTGCTGGTGCCTCTGGAGCTTCAAGATGGAGGATCCTCCAGAGGCTTGCGGTGCATGAACCTACTATTCGGCCCCCTAACCAGAGCTCACAAGCAGAAAAGGTCTCAGTGGGCCCAGCCACACATGAAGATTAATTTTCAGACTTGTTCACTGATGACACTGATGAATACAGCAGTGGCTTGGTGGTGGATGGCCACCACGTCCCAACACGGCTGTGATGTCAGCAAGGAGGTGGTGGAGTCATTTTTTGGGCCAAAATCATGCGGAGAGAGCTGTTCGGCCCCTTCAGAGACCCCGAAGGTGTGAAAATCACCTTAGCAAAGAATATGGATTTTCTGACTGATCACTTTCTTTCATGGTTCAAAAAAGAAGAGCCACACCTTCACTAGCAAAATCATCTTCATTCATGACAATAAAAGGTACATAAAAAGGGATAAACTCATGCTGTGGTCACCATCCTCCTCTGACCTCAACCCTATTGAGAACCTTTGTAGTTTCATCAAGCAGAAGAACTGAGGGTGGAATGCAGTTCATATCAAAACAGCAGCTCTGGGAAGGTATTCTGACATCCTGCAAAGAAATTTTGCAGAAACTTTCCACAAACTCATAAGTTCAATGGAATCAAGAATTATGCAGTGATATCAAAGTTATGCAAACATGTAACTGGGCCTGCTAAGATGTTTTTGATTGAAATAGCTTTTGATTTTAGTACCTGCGACCACTTGATGCTGCACATTCAAAGAATGACTGTTTGCAGTTCTTTATCATCAATAAAATATTTAGAAAATTTCATGTGCATAATAATGTGGAACAGTGCATTTTGAGTTTATTTTTGAAAAAAATACTGTTCTCTTTGGGAGCTTTGTTCAGTAAAATTTGATTTTTACTGCAATAGTTCATGACTTGAAAATTAAACTGACCATCATTTGCATTGACCATATCCGATATGCTCTTCTCTGAAAATTTGGTACCGTCTTTTCGCCTGTATTTTGTCAGGAGGATCCGAGGAAGGCACGGCCATCCACTACATTTGACATGGACAAACTGAAGTCCACCATAAAGCAGTTTGTCAGAGACTGGAGTGAAGCAGGCCAGGCTGAGAGGGACTCTTGCTACAAACCAATCATTCAAGAGATCCAGAGGCTCTTCCCAAGTGACCAATAGTAGGAATTTTATCTGCTCACTTTTACATCTACATGCATGTGATTTCAGCAAATAAACTCTGCTGTAAAATGGTTTTAATAGACCATATTTTGAACAAACATGTCAGTGTTTTCTATGTGATGTGTGCTTTTTGTGCATTTTATTATATCAGTGATGTGTCTAAGGTGAGTGTGCTGATTCCCGGTGCTGGGCTTGGTCGACTTGCCTGGGAGATTGCTCGGCTGGGATACTCATGTCAGGGCAACGAATGGAGCTTCTTCATGCTTTTCTCCTCAAACTTTGTTCTCAACAGGTAACACATTGAATGCATCCACTTAAGTTCATTTAAAGAAAAGTTAAGTGATGTTATTGTAACTCCTTTTTTTCTTGCTCAGATAAGTCTTAAATAATTTGGACCTTTTAAAAGTTCTGAAAAAAATTGCATCACTTAACTTAGTGAAACGCTGATTATTGCTATATCTTCCTTTTACTGATGTGTTTGGACGTCTTTGCTCAGATGTGAGGAGGAGAATGCTCTGACCTTGTATCCCTGGATCCACCAGTTCAGCAACAACAAGAAGTCTTCCGACCAAACACGGCCAATCAGATTCCCCGACGTTAACCCCCAGAGTCTGCCGCTAAACACCGACTTCTCTATGGTAGCCGGGGACTTTGTGGAGGTTTACAGTGAATTGGGTATGCTAAAGCTGACGTGGACTCCGTCAGATTTGTTGTCAAATGTTAAAATCAATTTGGTTGGTTAGAACCTTATTCCAATGCAAGATGTAGTTCAGATGACTCAGTTAAAAGTGTTTTTCTATTATTATTATTCAGTAAAAGATACGTAAATATGTGCCTAAGTGGTACTGGACATTACCTTGTGACATCATATGTTCCTCTCAGAGTGCTGGGACTGTGTGTCAACCTGCTTCTTTATTGACACCGCTAATAATGTCTTGGAATATGTGGACACAATTTGGAAGATTCTTAAGCCTGGAGGCGTATGGATCAATCTTGGTGAGTCTGCCTTGTTAAAAGAAAACTTAGCTGCACGAGAGACATTCAAAAACACTAGATGTTATATTTAATAAGCACATTTCTTACCTAAATTGAATGAGCAACTGTTTATCTTACACCTGGTCTTATCAGTGTTTCAGGTCATTGTGGAAAAATGATCTGAAACACTGATACATAATGTAAAGTACTCTAGATAGAACATTACATTAACTTCAATGACATTAATTCAACAAACAGTTGACCAACTTCTGGAGCCTATGCTAGTGTTCTGTCACATCTCTGTTTTTGATTTCTGTGTTAAGGCTTTTAAGATATTTTTAACTTAAGACTGTCATTTTTCTATGTTTTTAAGGTCCGCTGCTTTATCACTTTGAAAATATAGCCAACGAGCTCTCAATTGAGCTTAGCTATGAAGACATCAGGACAGCAATGTTAAAATATGGCTTCATCTTTGAGGTAAATTTGCATTATATGAATGTTATTGCATTCTGTTTGCCTTGAAAACAATCATTATGGTAGAAAAGCAGTTTTATTTCTGTCACAGGTGGAGAAGGAGTCAATGCAGACTACCTACACTGAGAACGAGTGCTCTATGCTGAGATACGTTTACGACTGTGTCTTCTTTGTTGCTCGAAAACCTATACTGCATTTTAACGATCAAGAAGATTTACAACAAAATTCTCCACCAGCTGCTAAGTCGTCCAGGCGAGAGGGCAGCAGCAGGCAAACGTGACATAAAATTTCTATAGAAGCTCAACTACCAAGACACAAGCAATGTGGACATGTTTTCACTTTCTCCCTAAATATGCCTTTTTAAATTGCCTCTCTTCAAAGGTGCTTTTACATTAAGATTCTTTGGTGAACTCGCGCATCTGAATACAGCTGAACATTTGGATTGTGCTAAGCAGGCATGGGCCATGAGATCTTAATAGAATGATAGCTTGTGAGTGAAAGAAACCTTGTTTTTACGATAATAGTAATGACCCAAAACCTCAAAACAAAAGCCCACTATCTAATTTATTTTAAATAGCTAAATGTGTTTATCTTGTAATAGTTGGAGAAGTCTAGTGGCCTCCTTTCAGCCAGCTGACCTGCAGTGGGAGAGACAGAGAGACAAACGGTAAAATGACTGACAATTTTAGCAGTTTTTGAAACCAGCTTTTTAAAACTTTGATACTGGTAACCGCCCAGTGGTATCAAACTTTGTGGGACTGCAATATCAGCTTTAAAAAAAAAGGGTCATCACAACATTTTTTGATCATGAAAGTTATAAGAGTTGTCAGACGCATTTAGTTTGTTTTTATTGGTTTGTTGTGAACTCCGAACCAGAAGGCGTTCACTTCGTTTCGCCATTAGGTCTCACTCTTAACTTATTTTACTTCACTGCCTTCCCTTGCCACAGTTTGTAAGTATTCACGTGTGCCTCTGCAACTGAATTACACATTTTGTAATGTATTTATTTTTACTGAGATCAGCTGTATTTACATCGGTCACCGTTCAGTGTTCAAGCTGTGTAACTGTCATTGTTTTATTTGAAATAAAGCCAAACGTTTAGAGAAAACAAAAAAACGAAATATGAAGCAAGATTTTATCATTATTTTTGCCCTTATTTCAACTTCGTTGAATGCTCGCGGAAGAGGAAAGGCGATGGGCGGGCTTTAACTAGCAGAGCTCTTCCACGATTGGTCCTTTATGACATTGGCGGTTGCACGTCACTACCGGTATTCTTTTCTCTGCGCATGTATTGCGCGTGTGAAGCTTATTAAAAGGAAAGGTTTTTCTTTGCTACACAGATCTGACAATTTGATGGCCAAGAGACGCGGTGAAGAAACTGTGCTACTCGACTCTCCCAGTAAGAGAAGACACTTCCCTCCCGTTTACAGTGTTGACATGCAGCTGGAGAGCATGGCTTCAGTGGGAGGCGTGAGTTCCCCATCTCTACTGACTTTATTGGGGGGTCGCTGCAGAAAAAGGCCTCTTTATTTTGACAACGAAGAAGCATATTCTTGTCCAACGATTTCGCCCCCGGGCTCTGGGAAGCACGCAAAGGATGTTTTCAACACTCCGTGTTCAGGAAGCGTCCAGGGCGGCCGCAGGTCCTGCGCACTTGCAAGAAATAAGCGGCCGCGAGAGAACAGCGTCGGTTCAGACTCCGTTCATGCAACAGATAAAGTATGTAATCGTGGTTTGATTTAGCAATATTTAGCTAACAGACGCTACTCTCTTGAAAGCGAATGATTATGCAGTGAGAGTAAACTGCCACTAGATGTCGCTGTTTGCTCACATTTTAATGCTCATCCAGCGTGACTTGAATTATGATATAGTTTCATGACGGGTATATCTCTGTAAATTAACATAAAAATGAAAAAGAAATCTTGTTAAAAAGCTAAACTCGGATATCATACAAAATTAATTACATCAAGATTAATTTAACCCGTTTTCTCCTGACTGATAAAACCCAACACTGTGTTTCTCAATATAAATGAAATACAATTATAGTAAAAGACCAATAATGTTTTTTTTTAATACAGAAATATTATTTTGTGGTTTACACAATAATGGGGAAAACTGATGACAGTTTTCCAGCAGACAGTAATACTCATTGCTAAAATCTATTAGGAATGAGTACATCTGTTTACATACCTTATTCATGTGTCTTAATAGAAAATTGACCCCTTCTGATTGCATCCATTCCAGTCTGCATTGATGCAGTAAATCATTCAAAAGGAAGGCCAAAACAAGAACTTAGTGTATGTAATTACAGTATTACTGTTGGTCTTTTGTACTATGGTCATTTCCTAATAAATTACATTACATCATTCCTTTTTACTGTAATGGTATCAGCAAATTTACCTGAATAAACATTTGAAATTCATCACTCTTTGTGATGAATCTGCAAGTTTCACTTTTGAATTAAATTAACAAGAGAAATTAACTTTGATCATTTTCGAGATTTGTTTGTTCAAGGTTTTTCTCGATGCTCACTTGCCTTTTCTTTTTCTTTCAGACAGCTGATGAAGATGGCACTTATAACTCTTTTCAGTACTGGAGGGTCCCCTTACCTGAACTTGACCTTTCACTGCTAGAAGAGTCTAGTGACCGTTACCCAAAAAAAGACAAGTCCAAAGAGAATGACACAACTGCAGATGCAATGGAGACCTGAAGATGATGAACACTTGATGTGTTTTATTACCTGACCAAACAGATCCTGTTAATCCCATAGACATGTCAGATAATAGCGCTAAAGTGGATGTCTTGCTGTAGGATTTCAGTGACTTTCTGATGTTTTGTGAAGGAGCTCTTGGTCATTCTGAAGCTTTATGTTCAGTGGGTTTTGTAAGACTAAGGGGAGGCTGTTCTTTATTTACACCCCTGTCCTTTTTGCTGCCACATCTGCCAATTTCCAGCAGAGTCTGTGAAGTAGTGAGTTTGTCAAGTGCGAAAAGGAGCTGATTACTATTCAGCAGAAAGAATGTTTTGTACCGACTTTGACAACTGTTAAGTTTAAGTAATTTTCCCAGAATGTACTTGCAGTGTTCTGTGCAGCCTAGAAAATTATGGGATTTGTTTTTAGTATTTTTCAGATTTTAATGCATATATTTCCCTTTAGTCTCACTTTTATTCCTCCTTCCTTTTGCTCTTCCTCTTAGACAATAGTGCCTGGAGGTTCTGTTTTCTGAAGACCAGTCACAGCAGAAATATCTGCCATAAAGTCATTGTGAAGTTTCGCGCTTATGCTTAGTAACTATCAGAAAATGGATGGCGAATTCTGGAAATATGTACAATTAAGACATGAACAACAACCCTGTGTTTGTAGTTTGCTGCAAGGAAAACCTGGATCTGGTCCCCAAATAAACATCTCTCAGCAGGGGTCGCTCTGAGTTACTTTGGTTGGATCAAGGAGCAGAAGCTGTTATATTTTATAAACCAGCTGGTCATGTTGGCAACAATGTCTTCAGTAAAAATTTTATAGGAGATTTGAACCTTTTTTTATCTTCTGGAGTTAAAAAAAAGAGAATATTTATACATGCATGTAAACAAACAGGTTTTCTTATTTAAGGTTGAAACAAAGTTCTTGTAGGTTGCGATTATTGAAGCTTGATAAAGTGCCTGACTGGCTCTGTGCAGCAAAAGATGAGCCAACTTGCTGCTGCATGGTGATTACCAGAGGGCTGAAACAAACCCACTACCTGCAACAGAAAGTAGTAGGGTGTTTAGAAATATTTCTGGTTCTGATAGGTCAGGACTGACATGTTGTGGAGACTAAAGGAGCTCCTCTCATCATGCTTGTTAAGGAATTGCTGCAGTTCAGTTGGTAAGTTGTGACCTGTTTGGCAAGCTGTTTTAAATAAGATCATTCTTTAGGTTTTAGTTTAGGATTTTTCTGCTATTAATATGATACACAGAAGCAGTCTTGTTTCTATCCTGTTATCACACTGTGAGAATCCAAGTGACTCGCATCCAGTTGGGGAGAATAGATTCAGAGTTTCATAAATTAGGTTCAGTATTATTTATTTTCCAGGCAAGTAGAGCAATTTTGTACCACAATCAAGTGACTATCTTACCTTTTTTGTTGTTACAAATAAGCTGCATTTATCAAATGTGACTTAAAATAAATTTTACATTATTTAAAGCCTTGAAATTGGACCTCTGAACCTTTAAAAACTCCTGCTCTTTCTGACACTCCTTCCTCTTAGGAAGTCTTCACAACAGCTCCTGTATTAAAAAACCCTTCAAATCTTTCCAGTGTTGCACTAAAGAAGTAGCTTGTATAACGAGCTCAGCAGAGTTTCTCCAGGGGTTTGCTAATTGCTGCTGGCTAGTCTGCAGGAGGTGGGAGAGCTGCTCTGTGAGGTAGAAGCTCTGAAATTTGGAGACTAAACTAAACCCCATCCTCAAAGTTGGTGCAGCATGCATGAAAGAATCAGGGCAACACTCCAGGTATGTTTTCGATGAGGGGGATAACATTACAACATGATGTCAAGCTCCTAGAAGGAGTCGGTTTGACATAATACTGTACCTTGAACACTGTGACTTATGAACCTGTGTGTAAGTCAGGACTGTTCATTGCTATGTGATAATCAGGGGTTTTTAATTTTCAGTGCCCAAGTGACTGTTTATCAGGGGCAATTCAAGAGATTATAGAAAATGGAGTTGATTTTCTTTTTCCCACCTGAGTGACGTGTTAGTTGGTGAAGCCAGTCCCTGTTTGCCCCTGCAGCAGCTGCTGCAGCTGCGGTGACTGAGGCGTGTTTGCGGTGTGAAGGGAGGACCGCGGCTCTGCTCCGGAGGTCGAACAGTCCTGGCTGTGTTGGAAGGAGGAGGAGGAGGTCATGAGTTCCTCCAGGCTTCTTGGAAAAGCCCGCTGCCCTTTGGACCAGCGGCTGATAAAAGCCTAAACGATAGAGTAATGATGAAGAGGTGGGATTTGAAAGAAGTTAAGACTTTAAACATTTTCATGTTATGTTTTACCCGCAGAGCACAGCCATGGTAAGTTATGCAAGAGGAAGACAAATCATGTAAACCACCCGAAGAGACTCGGTTGTCTGCAGCTGGTGTTCTGACCGCGGAACCGGTTCCTTACAGTTCATTTACTATATTAGCCGTGCTTAGCTCCGAGCTAACGACAGCAGCTATTAGCCGACAAGTTCATTTAGTTGAACTTGCCGGAGAAAACCTGGTGAAACGAGACGCGACGTGCAATTTTTAGTGAGCTCCGAGGAGCCAGAACCCGTCTGCTGGACTTGGCGTTTCATTTTCTCCGTAAACGTTTCTTGTAACATGTTTATACCTGAAATAGCGGAGGTAAGTTTTAGGGTAAAGTTTTTCAATTAACCTGTACAGACGCGTAATATTGCGCATGTGCACAACGCCGGACGGCTAAACTCTTCTACCATCCAGGACACTTTTATTGTCGTTTTGTACAATTTGTTGAAAGTATAAGAGACAATAAATCTGCATGCATTGAGTGTAAAAAAAAAAAAAAATACGTATTTGACAAAAATCCAGACGGGGAGGTTTTGTTTATATTTTGTAAACATACTAAGGTCATTTCTTAACGCCGTCATCAAGTTGCAACTTCGGCTTTATAAACTTTTTGGTTTCAAAGCTGCAAATACAGAAAATATAGTGATAATAAGACACCTCCCCGGGACAACAACATGCACCATGTTGTCCCTGTGCAACATGCTGCTGCACTTTGCAGCATATTGTTGCTGCACATCCCCTCTCAGTGAAGGCTCCACACATTTTCTTCACCTACAGGTGAGGCTCGTTGTGATGTCTTGGGCAATGTTAGAAATGCAAAAGCACAAACAGCCACACTTATAGCTTGTGGCATTATTAAAAATAGCATCCTCGATTTCAAAGTAATGTGTAGCTTTTTTTTTTTAACTGCAAATTGTTATAGATGTGTGCATATTTAAAAGAAACAGAAAAAATAAATGAACAAATATTTCTAGACTTATAAGCCTGACTAATTAACCCACAAGTAAAAACTTTCTATTTGTGGTTGGAATATTTTAAAATATATTAAATTAGGGTAAAAAACAAGATTGTTTATACTCTTCACCTTCATTCTAATGTATAACTTTCTTCACAGAGTCGCTGTTAGATTTATTACTCCATGATATTAAAAATGTCTGCTGTGAGAATAAACATTAAACCCAAATCTGTTAAATCCAAAAAATGCTTTTGGATTCAACTGCATATGTGATGACAATCAATTGCTTACAAATATTGTTAAAATGCGTTAATAAAGAAAAAAAAATCATTAAACAGTAATAGCAGCAGTAATGTTCCTAATATTATATATAGATTTGGGTTCTATTTCTGCTTCTTTTGGGACTAAAATGACTCTTTATCAACATACGCTGACTTAATACAAACCATCCAACAGAGTAAATGTAACAGATAAGCAGCTATATTCTTTCCACTGAACTAAAAGCCATTATTTTCCAGACCTTTAAACTAGAAACTATTTTGGATACCAAATAACAAGTTTACTCATAACATTACAGGAAGTGATAAACTGCTGTAGTTCATGCAATGTTTGGCATAGATAAATTTGTTTTTATTTTTTTGCTTTTGCTGGACAGTCTCTCTAAATTACATAGCAATATAGTGTTTTTGTGTTGTCACAAATGAGCATAACTTAAAATTGATACAACCCCTTGCTTAACTTAGTATGTCAGTGGATTCGTTTTTCGCTCTCTTGTGGTGTTCTGTGAGGCTGCAGCCCTTGTACCAAGGTTTTTTTTTTTATCAATTGGAAAATCTCTTTTCTCTGAAACCCGGCTACGCTTCAGAGCCTTGCTAAGTGTTCACAGAGTCAGACTCTATTTTTGGTGGGAGTAAACCAGCTCTGCTGCCATGAGGCCTAATCTCAGGAAGGGGATATTTGTATGTTTCCTACAAACACAGCCCTGCTTCTTGTGACTATTGTTGAATCTGTCGGAGAAACTGAGTAGAGAAAGGATGTTGTTGCTCACATTTCTGTGGTGTTTCACTCTTGGTGGGAGAGGAGTCTGATGGTCAAGGACTGAAGCTTGAGTTCAGCTGTAGAGAGTGCTTTGACTACAATGAACTTCACTGAAAAGGTTGTTCCCTAAAGGAAGATGTTTATTTTTCCTCAGAATAAATGAATGAAAGAGAGTACTGTGACAATCTACTTGATCTTTTATGCCGTTTCTATTATCTCAATTGTATGTTTTTCTATTTCAGACGGGGAAATCTTGGATTGAGGAGAGCTTCTTCAGAAGGGAGTGTGTAAAGTTCATCCCTTCCTCTTGGGACCAACACAGGTAAACTATAAACTGGCTGCATGGATGGTTTTTATGATTCCTAGAAGAATGTATGTAGGATAATATTAACTTTGGTGGGTGGAAATAAACATCTTTCTGAGAACAGAACCACCTGGCAGCCTTTTCTTTTTTCCAGGAACCATGTTGATTATTTTGTAATGTGTTTTTTCCTGTTTCTTTCAGATGCATTCCAATATGCCAAGTGTGCCAAAGCCTGATCAGGTATTATTTGCAAATTTTCAGTTAACATTTTCTTGTGCATTACCACCTGGCTGCCCATATGGCATTGGCATTCTTGTTTGATTGTTGTGTAGATTTCACTGCCTTCTGTTTATTTGTACTGTTCCTGTGTTTGCTGTCTTTGTACTGCTCCCACATTGTTTTCCATTTCACTGACGCACTATTTTCAAAATGCCCCAAACTGCAGTTAGTCAGTGAGTTATCAACTGTTCAGGTGATGTGAAAACACGAGAGAAGGCATGTGTCTATAAAAAAAAGTGTTTGGCAACATAATAGTCACAATGAAACAGGGATATGTAGACTCAAGGACAAGGGGAGGTGAAGAGGAAGGGTGGGAGACAGGAAAGGGGGAGCACTTGTTGCAGTCTGGCTTAGTCAGCTGGGGGTTTTAAAATGCATGCAAACAATTTACTTTGAGTTGCGTTAGCAACATATTGTTACACAATTATGCTTCAGTATTCGTCTGTCTGGCACTTTTTTCCCTTTTTTTTTTTTACATAAAAAGATACATAGAAGGCACAGACAAATAAAAAATTTGTTGTGGACAGAAATGTATAAAATAATGTGTAAAATAATGAAGATTTCTGGAGACATCGCTTAGAAAATAAGGTTTGATTTTATTCTTTGCAGCACTTGTTCAGTTCATAACTGTACCAAAATTGCTAAAAGAAAAGGAAAATTTTGAGCAGCAGCCTATATAATAATAACATTTTAAGAAAGCCTTACAGTCGATATGAATTCCCAAAATCATCACATATTGTGACTTTCATATGCACTGTTCTTTCTTGTGTAGGAACACTATTAGGTTCCAATGAAACTATTAACTAGC